TCAAAATCGCTTTCATTTTGAGCAACGAGCAAAGACTAATTCCGAGGGTAAATAGGTCGACATTAATTTAAATTTAAATTTCCCCTATTTTAATTTCAAAATACCTTCACTTATGCTATACCTATAATTTAATTCTAGGTTTATACCTCTACAAAGTTCTCCAGGCATGCTTACATGAGATTTTCTATCTGCTATAAAATTTTTACATAGGCCAGATTTTAGTAACTAAAACATAAAAAGTCGCAAGTTTTTAATTATATGGCGAATTTTTCATGATATTAACGCCTTGTACAATTTAAAATTTTAATCTTCTAGCTTCGATCCCTATCAATAAAAGTCTCCGCATCTTTTCTTTCGATTATTTACATTCCACAAATGTTAAAGCTTTTGAGTGCACATAAATATGTACATACTACTTACACGTTCTTTAAATGTGCATTAATTTGAATATTGTCATTTTTGATAAAATGGACTAAAAATGTTCGTGCATGCGCACTTGATAGTGCTTTAAAGCTTTTCGCTCATTTGGAGAACTTACAAACTGTTCAGCGACATTAAAAAACAACTTCTATGTAGTAGAAGGAAATCAAAAAGTTTAATCATAAAATCTTTCGTCGACGCAACATCTAAAAAAGCGTTGTAAAATGAATTTTCCACGTAAATGGTTGGGCACCTAAAAGTCGTGAAATTTAAAGAAAAAGTATAAACAATTTAAATTCCATAAAAAGCCTGCGCTTGATTGTACATACAATAAATTGATGGTCGTAAGTTCGCAGCAATGAGCGCTTGCATTTATATGGTAAGCATTTATATGGTTGCCACTTGTTAAAAAAATAACCAACAATCAACAATCTCAAAAAAAGCAACCAACTTTATTTTTTACGTATTTATTACGAACAGCAAAACTTTTTACAAAAAAAAAAAACAAAAAAAAATTATTGAAATGCAAATTTATTTTGCATCTGCCAACAAGTGCGCTCAATCACATTATTTACCAAGAAATTTCGATAACTCGTTACACTCTGTTAACACGATAAAATTCGATAAACTTATATAATCTTGAAATTTCCATAACTCGATATATTTTAATCCCATAAACTTCGNGAATTCTTTAAAATTTCTCTACAATTCAGAATACTCTGAAAAAAATGGTTTGAAAGGGAGATCAACAAAATTTCAGTAGTCTTGGTTTTCGAGGAACGGCGTTTCGATAAAAAATTTTACAACAAAAACAAAACAAATCAGAGAAACAAGTAATTTTTAAGTAAAAAACAAAACCGACTTCAATTCTCATGACTTCAATTCAATGATCTAATCCGATGCAAAAAGAATTATCGAAATCGGTTGACTTGGCCCAAGGTTATGCGGTAATCTACATGAAAAATGACGAACTGATAAACTACAGCTAATGGATAAATTTCAATAATTTGGTACATATCGATAATTTGATGAATTTAAAAAACACTAAAACCCTCAATTGATAAATTTCAAAAACACTAAAGACTCAAAAATGTAAACCGATAACGCGATAATCTTTCGATATTTTTACAAATTTCGATAACTCGGTTAATTTTGACAGTTCCATATTTTTGGAAAGCTATCAAGAAATTTCGATAACTCGTTACACTCTGTTAACACGATAAAATTCGATAAACTTATATAATCTTGAAATTTTCATAACTCGATATATTTTAATCCCATAAACTTCAATTCGATAAATCGACCATTTCACTAAATCAATAATTATCGATAACTCTGTAAGTTGAAAGAATTCGATGCATTACGATAACTCAATAAATTTCGATAACNAGCAACCAACTTTATTTTTTACGTATTTATTACGAACAGCAAAACTTTTTACAACAAAAAAAAAAAACAACTTGTACGCTCAATCACATTATTTACTTTTTATATGCAAGTGTTACATTAAAAATAGGATTTGGAAAATCACGGTGTTTAAACTTCACA